TTCTCACGTACTGTACTCCGTTATTTCATGCATAGCGTACAAAATTTTCATGCTTCGCTATAGGCAAACGTAGGCCCGAACATAATGGGGAGGACAAGTTTGTCACGTTCACTTTTTCTCAAAGTGAAAGTTCCTCACGTTATCAAGTCACTTTCAAAGAAAGAATAATTTTTAGTAAAAGAGAACCTACGGCCCTAGTTTGAAAAAGGGGATGTGTGCACATTGTGAGGCCACAGATTTCAGTCCTTATAGGCACCAGAGAATAATTGCATGTGCTGTGGTACCCATGTATGCAGAAGCTCTATAAATTCCCACGATGAAAGGCAGCGAGCATAAGTGTGAGTTTTGTGAGGATGTGACGTTTTAAGACTTATTTTTCGATTTTTAAGAAATAGAGATCGTGAGATTACAAATAGTTCAAATGCTTGCCAACACAGACGATCTTAACCTAAACTGCATTCTGCTACCGAGATCCGATGAGGAGGAGGACATGGACGAATGGGAGTTCCTGAACCAGTTGGCAGCTGATGCAACTGCATGGGTTAAATATTGCAGAATCGCGGAGAGCAAAGCACAGCAATACTTTAAGCGACAACGTCGTCGTGTCCAACGATTTCCATTCGCAAGAAACGGTTACATGTTCATGATGGAGGCAATGAGCGAGAATGGGCAGATGTGCTTTCAAGAATTTCGTATGTATTCCCCAATGCTGCAACATTTCGCACATGTATTGCACAACGAGCATGGCCTGCAAAGTAGTCAGCAGGTTGACATCTACGAGCAAGTTGGCATGTTCATCTGCATACTCGCATACGGAAAGAGATATCGGTAGGTGACAACGCTATTCAACCATTCGTTAGAAACAGTGTCACTACGTCAAAGAGGTTCTACGTGCGGTGGTTGCGCTTTCCATGTGTATGACTCAACCGAATCCGAATTACAACTAAGGTTTGGACCTTCACAGGCCTGATTTGAACAAGCACCCACTGTTCGCAGATAGTATCGGAGCTATTGATGAAATGAATGTCGAAGCAGTATTACCGCGACACGAGCGTATACACTTCATAGGTCGAAAAGGTGAGCATACGCAGAATGTGTTGGCCGCGTTGACATCATTCATTTTAAAATCTAAAAACTTTCCCACAACAAATTTCTTTGTTCCAGCATCTTCTGTAGCATATTTTTTTTCTAATGAATTCCATAACTCTTTTGCAGATTTACACGAGTAGTAAACATCATATGGACCGTATGTCCAGCTACCCTTACCCAATGCAAGTTCTATTGTTGGTGCCACGATGGGGATACATAATTTCCTACGACGATCTGGAGTGATAGACAAGGCTTTCAGGAGAGCACAGGAGCTACCTAGCGCCGAAAATGAGATGCATGCTGAAATGCATGCACCAGAGATGCCGCGGAGAGAGTGTGACAAACTGTGTTATTACTTGGTGCAGTAGCCATGAATATGATCCAATTGTGAAGTATTCCAACAATAGTCGAGGAACTAAATATAGATTGCAAGGTAAAGTGTGCGAGTGGCAAATGTGTATTTTGAATAAATGGTATCTGCTCGATGCACCTGGTGCAATTGTAATATTTTCTCGTAATCGTAACGATTATAAAAAATAAAAAATAAAAAAACTATGTGCAAAACAAAGAAATAACCATGGTAATGTTTGGAAAATAATTGGTAAGGAGTCACGTGGGTGAAGTTTGGATTGTCTTTTACCAATTTATTACAAGAATATTTTTTTTATTGGAGCGATAGCTCTAAAAAGACAAAGCATGTTGGTTTGACGTGTTTTGGAATTTGTGTCTTAGAAAATCATTTCTTCTCCTCAATTTTCTTGCCTGCCAGAATATACAAAATGGGTTGAACAAACAATCCAACAATGACAACAAGGGAAAATTTGGGATTTCGCAAAGTTTGAATTTGAATTAGAGAATAAAATATTGCCCAGACCCCATGTAGATGGGGTAGGAAAAATGCATTTTTGTAATTAATGGCTACCAAACGGCTTCTGAATCTGATTGCAGGATTTCCTCCATTAAATTTCTTCATTTCTTAACTGTACGTGTCATTCCTCTTTCTGTGTTGCATCCTACATCAGCGGATACACTACTGATGTAAGCTAACTTCATCCTTGGCCTTTGCTCATAGTGGCTGCTCATTTCAATTGTCAACTCTTATCCTTTTATCACTATATTGGGCGCACACTGATGGATTGTTAAGATTAAGATTCTGTTTGAGCCTCATTATTTTTTCATTAAAATGAAAAATATGATTGTTATTCATTACATCAAGTCACCATATTTGACTTTTTATCTTTTGTGCGAGGTCGATAACGACTATATTTTTCATTTTCATTTTCATTTTTACAATAATGTAGCTCAAATGGGAGCTAAATTTGTTGGAAAAATAATTAGTTGCAGCAGTGATCAGAACAATATAATGCAGAAATATAAAACTTATCGATCGAGTCTCGTGACAGCACGATGTCCTAAAGTGAAATTGCCCGTCAATAATTGCTGTGACCTCCGTGGACAATCACTCCCAGGATACAACGATCGTAAACCACTTATGCAGCAATCACGAATGGTTTTTCTAGAACTCTCAATTGTACTCCAGAATAGGTATAAAAACCCGAATATAAGAAGTTCACAATATGTAAAGAGTGATTGATTCTATTTTCTTTTTGTGTGTCTTTTCCCAAAGCAAGATATGGGTTTATATATGCAAGATGGTAGTAACAGTCTTCACCATGTTAATGCAGAATTTTAATGACTGAGGAGTGGGTGTTTTAATGGCAGTTAGTGGGTTGTTACAAAAACAAACAGTCATAAAATACTGGCTAGTTTTACCCATTAAATAATGAAGAAAAAAAAATATTTATTTTAGTCAAGGAAGCCCAAGACCCCAAGGCCCCAAGGCCCAAATCAAGATATTTTAATATTTGCGTGGGGAGTGATTCGAACCCCTGACGTCCCACACAAATGTCACATTTCCCACCACTTTGGCACTTTATCTAATTTGATTATTTCTTTCACATTTTATATTTATACCATAAATATATAACAAAATTTTCTACATTACTCGTGTTAAAAAGTACCATCATCTTATTTTGAATTAACAATTCCATGTGAAACTAAACTAGCGCCCTTGAATTCAATTCAATTTTAAGTACTGATAGCCTTCTAAATTTGTACTCTGGTTTATTTCTGAACTAATGTCTTGAATTGCACAATAGCCATTGGAATGAATTGTCGTGACGCTGGCATTGACAAACAAAGATCAGAATAATAATGGATGTTTGTTAATTGTATTGGTATTGATGGCTATGATTGATTTTGCAGAGAAGGCCAAAACCAAGGGGTGGACCTGGTGCTGCAGTTAGTTTCTCGAGAAGGGGGGAGGACGAGGCAGGAGTGCAATGGAGAGAGCGTCGATGTCAGAAGAGACATGCTACAGATGCTCTTAACTTTTGACGCGAACAGTGATGATGGCGGCGGAGTTGCTACTGGTGCAGAAGAATGTTCTACTTGACCGATCATTTTCTTCTAATCAATTGTAAGTATTACCGTGGATAATTGGCAACATTTCAATGTTAATTTAAGTATTTAACTACTCATTCATAAAAATTGTGCAGGGTTTGGAAAAACAATGAATTTAGTCTGTATTTGAAGGAAAGGCGTTGAAAGACGAATTTTAAAAGAATAAATGTATTTTTTAGAAGTTTTTCAAATAGTTGAAGTGTTTAGATAAGATGACTTGTGATATGAAAAAATTGAGGAATGTTAGTACAATTAAATGATCTTTAAATTCAATATAATTATCATTTGATACGATGTGTGTTGACAAACTTAGATTAGGGATAAACACTATTTGCACTAGATAGTATCATTCAAAAAAAAAAAAAAAAATTTGGGTAAATTATACCGGGAGTTTCTACCTTCTGTGAGTGTGGTATTTGTGTCAACTTATTATTAGTTGCACTCATGTTTTCGACCTTTTAAATATGTGGCATCTACGTTCCTAGTTAATATAAAACCTTTATTTAAATGTTCTCGTAACCAAGATGTTTGAAGTAAGGGATATAGAATTTTTACCTTATTTGGATTAGGGGTCGAGGAATAATATTGGGTTAGAATCTCGTAGCTCCAATGTGGCGAACAAATTGGCCATTTGGTTTATTTTGAAATAATTGAAATTTTTTGGAACAATTCCACCCTTTAGTATCTTATTACATGAGGACAGCATAGTCATTTAACATGCAAATAAATATTGTCTATCGAGTAGGTAAGTATGATCACATTTAAAAAAAAATGAAGATGAGAGCGTAACAATGATAGACTTGACCTCTCTTTATAGGTGTAAACCTAATCATAGTAATGCAATTCAAGATGAAAATGTGACACCAATTTAAATGGTACTAAAGAATAAGTTTAATTAAAGACAAATATTAGACCAATTTTCATTTTAAGGGAGCTGCCTACTGTTTTTGTCAAATAAATAATCTTCGACACTATGTTGAAAATTAATTTAATGGTCTAAATGGAATTCAAAGAAATCTTTAAAACCATATTCCCATAACCAAACACACTACTCATAATATTAGCCACCTATTATCACTAATTCACCGGCGTGAGCTTTTTCAATCATCTACTTCTCAACCTCCATCTCACAAAGAATCTCACGGGCCGCTTCTGAAGCCATCGGAGAGACTCCATGTACCACCTTTGGTTGGATAATATTGTACAATCGTCCATGGTGAGTGGAGCAGGAGTGGCGATGATTATGAAAGTGGTTGATGAGATTTTGGAGATAGAGGTTGAAAAGTAGATGGTTGGGGAAAACCTACGCAAGTGAATTGGTGATAATAGGGTGAGTAATATTATCAAATTAAAATGTTTTTTGGTAATGAAAGAATTTGTATATTTTTTAAATTTTATTTAAATCATTAGATAAGTATCATCAAGGTCAAGATTATTGGTCAAAAATATAAGTTGGCCAGCTTACGATCCCCCGGGGCTCTATCACATCACTGTTCTAACAATGGCAGCAGTAAGAGAGTTCACTTCAAGCAAGTGAAAAAGAAAGGATAGAAAACTGCAAAGCACGATGACGATGAAGCATCAGAGCCAGAGACCAGGGGATGCTCTACCGAGCACAGCCCTGCTCAATATATTCTGCAAAACCTCCATTAAAGATCGATTTGACAATATCCCATTTGTTTGCAAATCATGGGCTTATGCCTCTGCTGACCCGCACTGCTGGGCTTCAATGATCGCCGAATCAGAATCAGATTCTTTTGAGGTTGCGTTTCTTAAGGATTCTTATCCTTATGGTTCAAGTTTTGTTGACCCTTTTGACGGGAGACGTAGCACCGATCCCCAACGTGGCGTGATCTGCCTGCAAGCGCTGATTCGAAGAGCTGGTGGCGGTGCCGCCATCAATTCGCTGTATTTCTTCCCTTTTCTCACTTCCGTCGTCAGCCCTCCTAACGATGATGAGCTTCTTCGGCTCATAGCTAAGCAGTAAGTAATTTTGTTGAATTGTTTTGTGAATAGAAATTTGTTCGACTCCATTTTATTTGATATGCAAATTATGATTGAAAAATTAATCAGCACAGAATTGGCCAAATTGGGTATCCCTTTATACACTTCATGATACATCACTTAAACCTGATTTCAAGGCACAGTATTTAGGTTCTTCTGGACTACTTTTTAATCTTGAAATATTTGTATTTGAACCTCTTGAGAAATTAGCTTCCTTGTCTCTGCAAAATTATGGCATGATTAATCCTAAACAGGGACTTATGTGTATAAGTTACATGTGTACATTGTTGAGGTTGTCCCACATCGATTGTGGATGGAGCTGATATTCAATTTATAAATGTGTGGAAAAGCCTCATCTTGAGCTAGTTTTGGGGTGAGAGAGGCCCAATATCACCCAAAACTGATATCAAAGCCCGATTTGTCAACAAGTCTCCGATCCAACAGTCACGGAGATATGGGTTTGTATGAAGGAGAGACGGGTTTGGTCTCCCACATGGCCGATGTGTGGGGGGAGATGCTTGGTCTCCCGCAAAGCCCGATATGAAATATGCCCAATACTACCCAACACTGGTAAAGTTCGAGTTTATTTTTTTCTTTGTAATACTTGGGGATTGGGATGGTGAGTGAAATTCTATATGATTGTACAATTTTTGATGTAGTGAAAAGTTTTGACGATCCGTTTAATTTATGCATTAAATTCTTTATTTTTCTTGTTTGCTAATATTCTCATTAACAATAAAAGATCCCGCAAATAAATAGAAATAAAGGGAATTGATGTAAAATTTCCAACAAGTGGTATCAGAGCGTCAGATGATTCGGAGTACTGGAGTTACAGACAAATACATCGTCGTTAAAATATGACATGGAGAAATTTGACAAGAGAATCAATATTGACTTGTGGCAAGTACAAGTTAAAGATTTATTGATTCAAACTTGACTGCACAAGGCTTTGAAAGGAAACCCAAGTTCTAGCAAGATTGGCAACTCCGTGAGGAAGAAAGCCCCTTGTTGAAACTGCGGTCAGATTGGTCACTTGAGGAAAAATTGTCCCAAAGGTGAAGTAAGGTCGGCTAATACGTCTCTCTTGGCGAAGGAGATGTGGTACTGTAAAGTAAGATGAGAACATCTTTATGGCTTGTCACCAATTGCCATGATAGGGGATGTGTTCTTACTGGCGCGGATCAACATATCTGCACATAGCATTAGCTGACATTTGATGCAAGGTATGTAGGTATATGGTGGTAGTGTGATATCGATGGCTAATGAGCTCTTTGGAACAGTCCCGCGACACCATAACTATCAACATGGTTGTTTTGACATGTAGCCGATGAAGAAATTTGTGGATAATTCTGAGTGGTTATACTCATATGGTGGAGAATGGGACCGTTAAAGTGTTTCAAAGGCTTGCCTATCTTTTTCAAGTATTGTGATTAAAAGTTGTAGAAGAGATGACAAGATTTTAACTCGTTTTTGGCAAGGTGGAGATTATTGGGTAATTGCCTCAAAAGTCAAAAGCTGGAGGACGTCTATTGCAAATAATAAAAGGTAGTTATTCTATGGAAGACTTCTATTTAAAGTTGATAGCACAATCCTTGCAGAATTTTGGTCTTCAATTTACAGAGGATTTTGGAGTCTTACACATGAAGAAATCCTTATTGAGTTAAAGGAGTCTTGTTTGAATTTAAATTAAACTCTTCTACTTAATTATTGATCTTATAAATAATAGATGTATTTCATTATTTTGAATGTGGCCAGAGAGTTGATCTAAGAGAAAAATATTGTAACCCTAACATCTTTAGACTTTTTGTATATTGGGTAGAAAAGTAGGTGTGGTAAAGCTTGAGTTTATTTCTTTCTTTGTAATGCTTAGAGATTGGGTTGACGAGTGAAATTCTATATGATTTTAACAATTTTTCATATAGTGAAAAGCTTTGACGATCCATTCAATTTGTGCGTTATATTCTTTATTTTTCTTGTTTGCTAATATTTTCTTGAATAACAATAGATGCTGCGGGTAAATAGAAATAAAGAGAATTAGTATAAAATTCCCTACATGCATTGTAAGATATCTTTTCTTTTATAAAGATTAGTTGGCTATAGCTGACTGCCTCTGAGACTTTATTTCTCTAGTTGGATACTAATGGGGATTCCAGCATAAGGCTTGTTACTAGTGTCAACGAATCAATCTATCTGATCTTAAACTAAATGATGGTTTTAAGTTTTGATGCTACTTGGCACGTACTGAGGTATTATCGCGATTTGAAACTATATGATTGGTAGGATCGGATGGTGAAAGCCAACTTGGATAAGGGAATTAGTGTAAAATTCCCTACATGCTTTGTAAGATATCTTTCTTTTATAAAGATTAGTTGGTTGACTGACTCTGGGACTTTATTTTTCTAGTTGGATACTAATGGGGATTCCAGCATAAGGCTTGTTACTAGTGTCAACGAATCAATCTATCTGATCTTAAATTAAATGATGGTTTTAAGTTTTGATGCTACTTGGCACGTACTAAGGTATTATCGTGATTTGAAACTATATGATTGGTAGGTTCGGATGGTGAAAGCTAACTTGGATACGCCTAAATACATGTGTCACTCTCTAAGAATGCCAGCTAACGGCTCTTTTATGACTTCTTGGAAGGTCTTTAATCAGTATTCATCTCTAATATTAGTGTTTGCTCTTGTGAGGGCTAGAGTGACCCTCTCATAGATTTGGCCGATATCATTCCACAATCCCTGTTCATGTGTTTTCCTTTTTCTTAGTAATGAATAGATCTCTTTACTCTTATGACTAAGGTGTCTTGGAAATCTCGAAACTGTGATTCAATTAATGGAATTTGATATTAGATATATGGATTTGCCGCTCATTCTACAACTCGGTTTTCTTCCTGCTATAGGGTTATAGTTTCCACTCAAGATCTAGGTCATATTTGGGGTGAATATTCTTCATAGAAGACCCTCGAGTGATTGTCTCAACTTTTTATGCTGTACTGGCTTGTTTTGTAAGGTAGACACTGTACAGTTTTGGACAGTATTAAAGTGAAAAAACAAAAGAAGCTCAAACTTTGACCATTGTACTTGTCGATCTTGTGTAATACAAGATACCAAATGTGTGCTTTTAAGTTTCACTTTTCCTAATTGGTTTCTCCAACGCCACCAATTTTGTGTTGTCTTCTGCAGCTGCCCAAACTTGAAGCATCTTTCTTTTCATGGATCTTTCCATGCCTCAGAGGAAGCAATATTCAATGTTTTTCGCAGCTGTCGAGAACTGGAGCTTATTGACTTCTCCAACACCCCATATTGCTATACTTCGATTTTGCAAGAATTGAGTTGCTGCTGTACTAAAATTAGAGGGGTTAGAAAGCAGGATGTTCTTGAAACAAACTTTGCTTATGATCTAACTAAATGGTTTCCAAGATTGAGGCTTTTGAATGTGTCCTATTCTACCATTGTTGATTTAGACATGTTTACTATTGTTACCAAATGCAAGGAACTTCAGTATCTAGATGTTACAGGCTGCCAGCAATTGATTCGCTACATGGACATTGTGAAGATAGCTTCAAAGAGGATACCAGAAATCCTGTACGATTGAGCTTTTGGATAAGATGTATTTCTTGTACGAATACTATTTTATTTAATGTCCCCAATGAAATTCTGAAGTGTTCTTCAAGTTTTGGTTATCCATTGGAACTTACATGGTTATTCAGGTTTCTTGGCTCGTAGATTTTGATTCTGTGTGAGAGATTGATGTTTCCATAAAACTTCATAGCTGACAGATAACCCTTTGAAACTCCCTCTCTCTGGGATTGGGATTTTCACTGGTGGGGGATATCTGTATAGGTGAGATGCTGCAGTTTGATCCAAAGCGTACATAGAGAACTGAAAGTTAGTGGGTGAAGATTGAGTAATTGATTAACAGTCAATTGTCATTACTGAAACAAAAACTCAAAACTTGGAAAAATTACAAGAAAAGACTGTCACCACAAAAACTCAACCTATGTTTTTGTGTGAGAAAATGGTCAGTTTCTGCAGTTTCCATATTAAAAGTCATTTTTTAATGAATTGGATTACAATGCCTTTAGTTTTAGTTAAATACAATTAAACCTCTATAAATTAATAACCTCGGATAAAAGAAAAGTAAATATTAATATATAACTTATTAATTTATCAAGATATTCCTTATTTTCTAAAATATTATACATTGTATTGATTTTACGCACTAACATTTATTAAGAGTGTTTAGGATAAAAGTATTAGTAACTTTTAGGAGTAAAGTATTGGGACCCACAAAATATATGATTAATAAATGAGTAATTGTTGTAAGCGTGTTGCCAAAAATTAATGAAAGAATGAATAGATAAAATAAATTTTTAGTAACTTTTAATATTAGATGGATAGTCTATTTATTTGTTTAATCAAGTAAAATTCACAAGTCTGCTTAGTTTTTCAAAAATAGATTCACATTGTTCAATATAATATATTATAACCTACCATAGAGCCTACTTCGTAAAAAGAAGCTCCCAAAGCAGTAATGACATTGAACCCCCAACGGGAAAATAAAAATAAGTGAAATAGTATTTTTTTTTNTTTTTTTTTGTAAAAATGAATGGTTGAAAAAAGAAGAAAAAGTTTTCGATTTATGTGTAATATTATTTTATGGAATATCGTGTAGTTGAAAATAGGAAAGAGAAAAATGAAATGTGTAATATTTTTGAATAATTATTTGTTGCATTATCAGACTTCTTAACATTTTAACAAAAGTTAGAGATGAGATTGAATGTGATAAATTTCAAGAAGAGACAAACAATGATTGAGACATAATCTTGGAATGCTTGTAGTCGAATCATAAGCACTATGCATCAAGAAATTATTAATTTATATGAATTTATATGATTTTGTATAATGTATAATCTTATAAATTTAGCTTATTTAGCACGTTATCCTAAGTTAAAATCGATCATAAATATTATTTAATTAATATATCGAATATTAAATTATCAAAGTTCTTCGGTTAACAAAATTAAAAATATAGAACAAAAAATAAAAAGAAATAACACATCCCTACAAAACCAATTTTCAAAATGTGCCTTGCCCAACTCCTAAACCATTCACTATTATTTATGTGGAAATTACAGGGACTAAGTGTTTTCAATATCTCAATTCATAATTACGAATTACAAGTTTTTCTTTCAAAAATCATATATAATTAAAATTCTAAATATTAATAATAATATTATAAAAATTATTTTATATATCTTCCCCACTACCATTTACTCTCTCAAATCCTAATTATTTCTCAATCTCTTCTTTCGTTCTCTATGCAATCAATTCCTCACTTCTCTCTTCCTAAATGCTATATTAGTGCCGCCATACAACCTGCCTACAGCCGATGTGGTGCCACCATCGTTCGCAACACCACCTCATTTTCGTCCATCTGAGAGTGGAGTTATCACTGCAGGACAATCTGATAGCAGCATTGCCCGCAATACGATCTAAGAGGGCGGTGCCATGCTCTTGTTCCAAGCACTGAGAGTGATATCATCATCTCCAACACCACGACGCAACAATAGTGGCTCTGATTAGGTCCAGCATTAGGTTCAAATGGTGTGATGCTATGGTGGTAATTTTGCGATTTGCTGTGGTGTTGTGGGTGGTGTGCGTGGTGGTGTGATTGGTGGTTACGATGTAGTGTAATGTGGTTGGTGGTTGCTACAATTTGTGACGGTGAGGTTGCGTCCTTGCAATGTATGGTAGTTGAGGTTGTGTTTTGTGGTGTGTGGTGGTGATGTTGTTGGTGATCGTGGTGGTGGTGATGGTGGTCTTAGCGGTGATGCGATGGTCGTGGGTGGATTGGGGTGTTTGTAACCAATTATTTGGTTAATTGTAACAAATAAATTGGTTAATTTATGACTAATAAAGAACATGTGGCCTAAAATGTGATTGTGACTCACAATCTATTAAATTGTGATCGAGAAATAACTTGTAACTAATTAATTTAATAATTTGTATCCAATAAATAAATTCTGATCTATAAACTTTCGTATTTGTGATCGAGAAATACTGTCTGATCAATTAATTTGATAATTTGTAATCAAATTATATAGAATTGTGATATTAATATATTTAACCCCCGTTTGGTCCCATTTTTATCCAAAATGTATTTTTTCCATCACATCAATGTGGGACCTACACAATATTTTATCTTTTGATTTGAATTCAAAAATACTAAATTTCCAAGTTTACCCTTTGTCCATGTCAACATCAAATTGGTGTATTAAACCGGTTGAAAAGTCAAAAATGTGTCCATCTCACACTTTTCCAAGAATTTCATGTCACACCCCCACCATATGCATTTCCAAATGAAATAGGCCACTGTTTAGCTTTTTACCTTGCTCGTACAGTATTGCGGGAAAAAAGGTAACAAAAATCCGGTAGAAACATTTTATTCTATCAACTACGCTCGTGTGTATAT